GAGAGAGAGAGAGAGAGAGAGAGTGAGAGAGTTAGAGAGAGAGAGAGAGAAGGAAAGATAGACAGAGAAAGAGAAAGAAATAGAGAGATAGAGAGAATAAGTGAGCTAACCCAAAGGAAAGAGATTTAGTAAAACAAGCCTTAATTATCTTCCTCCAGTAATCTTTGTATCTCGCCAAACCTAACCCAAAAGCTTCAGAGTAAAAAAAAAGAAAAAAAAAGAAAAAATCTCGTCCGACGGGGCACTCGACTGTGTCTAAATATATCAGTCAACTAACTGGCTCACATTTCGCTTTCCCCGCAGGCTTGTTATACGAATGCTGACCGAGGGGAATTCACTCTGAAACTCCCAATGTCGGCACGGAATACTTCGCTTCGCATTATGCTGTTATCTCTCTCTTTCGCTCGATTTTCTCTCGATTTTTTCTTGTATATTTTGATTTGTTTTTCTCTTCCCTCTTTCTCTGTTTCGGCTTCCCTTTTATCTTTATTTTTATTTATTTCTGTCACGTTCCGTCTCACTCTCTTTTTCATTTTTTTCTCTCTCTTCTCTCTCTCTCTCTCTCTCTCTCTCTCTCTCTCTCTCTCTCTCTCTCTCTCTCTCTCTCTCTCTCTCTTTAGCTACCTCCACGAAAAAAAAACTGTACATAGCAAATGGTTCTATAATACAAATTCCATGTCATTGTTTCTCCACATACATTTATTATTCAACAAGAGGACAATACACACGTTGAAAGCTGCACACGTTGTCCTGAATATAACGTTATCAATGTTTCACTGGATCTGTCTGACATCCAAGAATTCGGTGTTGCATGATGTAAGAGAGGCCCTTATTTCCTGCAATTTTGAAATGTTTTTTTTGCGGGTTGTATAGTTTATGGATGAAATGTCTGGCTGATGATAATATACATATATATATATATATATATATATATATATATATATATATATATATATATATATATATATATATATATATATATATATATTTTTTTTTTTTTTTTTTTTTTTTTTTTTTTTTTTTTTTTTTTTTTTTTTTAACAGCCATTCATTCCACTGCAGGACATAGGCCTCTCTCAATTCAGTATTGAGAGGTTATATGGCGGTGTCACCCTTGCCTGATTGAATGCCCTTCCTGATCAACCGCGGTTCGGCGTGTTAACACTTGTGCCACGGCGGTGACTTCCCCTACGACACCTGCGTTTGACTTCTCAAGTCGATATGTCGTTTTCCTCGGGCTCGAGTCAGCAGTCAGAGCGCAGGCATTTTTACGATTTTTATATCTATATCTATATCTATCTATCTATCTATCTATCTATCTATCTATCTATCTATCTATCTATATATATATATATATATATATATATATATATATATATATATATATATTCACGTTGTTTCAGAATACAGTAAGCTACAAGAATGCATGACGGGGGTTGTAACAGGCCATAGTGTTAATTCGGGTTCATTAGGGTAAACCTTGTTGTCATAATGGGATCTCAGGGCTCGAGCGGAGAGAAGGAGAGAGGGAGACAGAGAGAGAAGGAGAGTAAGAGAGAGAGAGAGAGAAGGAGAGTGAGAGAGAGAGAGAGAGAGAGAGAGAGAGAGAGAGAGAGAGAGAGAGAGAGAGAGAGGGAGAGTGAGTGAGTGAGTGAGTGAGAGAGAGAGAGAGAGAGAGAGAGAGAGAGACAGAGACAGACAGACAGAGAGAGAGACAGAGTTAGAAAGAGAGAGAGACAAACAGACAGTCAGACAGAGAGTAAAGAAAGACATAGATACACATAATACTAACACCCCTCGTAAACAAAAAAACCCGACCAACAGCTAACCACCCCCCACGCCCCTTCCCTCCCGCAGCGGTACGACCAGACCCTGGCCACCGACCACCGCTCAGGCACGACCGTGTTGCGGGTCACGGCCTCCGACCTCGACGCCGGGGAAAACGCCCACGTGACCTATTCCCTGAAGGCGCACCACCCGCATGACCTCGACTACTTTTCGATAGACAGCAGCTCCGGGATCATGACGCTGCGGAAGCCCTTGGATGATAGCATGGTGAGTGTGGGGCTCGTGGCGTCTGATTATTGTTTCCTTGGTCATTTGTAGCTCTTTTGGAATTTCTTCTGTTCTTCTCTTATAGTTTCGTCAATTCCTTATTTATGTTCTGTATACCTGTCACTGTCTCTTTGTCTCCCTGTCTGTCTGCCTCTCTGTTTCTCTGTTTCCCTCTCTGTTCTAGCTCTATTTATTTCTCTATCTCTCTGCATCCATTTATTTATATATCTCTTTGCATCTATCTATCTATCCATCATTTTATTTGTCTCCATCTATCTTTATCTGTATACATTTTGATGATATGTATATATGCACGAATACCTACCTACGCCCTATCTGTCTAATTGTCTACCTGTCCATCTAATTGTCTACCTACTTACCTTTCCTCCTACCTACCTACCTACTTATTTACTTACCTACCAACCGTATCTTCCCACCTTCCTCCTTCCTTTCCTCTCCTTCCCTCCCACCCCTCCCTCTTCCTCTCTCCCTCCCTCCCTCCCTCCCTCCCTCCCTCCCTCCCACCCTACACAACTCACTAACTCCCCCACCCCCTCTCTCTCCTCCTCCGCCAGGCCAACAGCAAAACCTTCGAGCTGAGCGTGCAGGCAGAAGACCAAGGACGGCCTTCACTATCCTCCACAGTGCCGATCACCATCACCGTAGTGTCTTCGGGAGAGCTGCCCCCCACGATCGTCAGCCAGAACCCGCTACACCCGATAATACCCGAGAATACGACGGAAAACACGCCCGTTGTTACTGTGTGCGCCAGGTGAGGGCTGAAGGGGAATGGGTGAAGGGAGGGAGGGAGGGAGGGTAAGGGTGAAGGATGAAAGGTGGAGGATGAAGGGAGGGTGAAGGGTGGAGGATGGAGGGTGGAGGGTGGGGGATGGTGGGTGGAGGGTGAAGGGTAGAGGGTGAAGGGGGAGGGGGGAGAGTGGAGGTGAGGGGTAGAGGGTGAAGGGTGGAGGATGGGGGATGGTGGGTGGAGGGTGAAGGGTAGAGGGTGGTAGCATATACTCCTTTCCATTATGTACATTTTTCAGTAATTGTTTTTCATTTTCTTTATCACTCATTTACCTCAGTTTTCATTTCGTTCTTCAGTTTACCTTTTCCATCCATCCATTTCCCCCGGCTTTCCTTTTAGACTTTAATCCTTTTGTTCATTATTCATTTCCCTCAAGTTTTAAAATTAGTCTTCGCTCATTTTGCACATTATTCATGTTCCCAAATTTTCTACAGTTCTTTTATTTCACTATTCATGTTCCCTAGTTTTCATTTTACTCATCAGTCCTATTGTCCCGTTACTCATGTTTCCCAGTTTTCATTTTCTTCAATTCTCTTGTCCATTATTCATGTTCCTCAGTTTTCCTTTCACCTTTCAATCCATTTATTATCCATTTTCCCCACTTTTCATTTTACTCCTGAATTCTCTCGCTCATCCTTCATTTTCCTCGGTTTTCAACTCACTCATCACTTTATCTTCCTGTTCCCGTTGCTCTCAGGTCGAACTTGGCCGACAGCCCCAACGTGTACTTCACCCTCATCAACGGCAACACACGAGACACAAACTCCGACGGAACTTTTGCATTAAGGTGAGAAGATAGAGATGGTGAGAAGTTTTTTTTTTCATAACTTTTTTTTTTTTTTTTTTTTTTTTTTTTTTTTTTTTTTTTTTAGGGGGTGGGGAGCTTCTCGTTAGTTATGGATAGGTGGGGTTAATAGTAAGTAATGGTAGTAATATGTCATGATCGATTTTGTTTCGCGAGTTTAGTAACGATTAGTATTGATAAGTAATTAATTATATTGCGTGAACGTAATAGGCAGTAATGGTACAGTAATTAGTAGTAATTAATTGTGTTTTGGAGACAAAGTCAATACAAGGCAACTTTCACACTCTTTAGAGCAGTTAGTAATCATTAACATCAATATGTAATAAATTGCAGTAATTACTAGTTATAAATGATGATTAATAGTTGTTAATGAACAGTAATACGTAACAATTAAATACTTTTCGGACACAAAGGGAACACAATTCATTTGACCATTAGTAAAAATAAATAAGTACTAATTATACTAACTGATAGTACTAAATAATGATTATCAATATGAAATGATAACAATAAGTAACCGACAAAAAAAACATCAACAGATATATGATGTCGAAAGTAATGATAACGAATAAACTAAACTAAAGCATAGTCTGAAAAGAAAGACAGAAAAACTGAATCAACTTATCTAATAGCTACCCACGGCGCCCGATTCGAAGCTTCGTGATTCTTATGCCGGATACTCTATTAGTGGCGAAAAAAAGAGGGAGAAAAACAACTAATGGTAGTAATAATAATCATAGTAATAGTAATGATAATAATGATAATAATAATAATGATAACAACAATAGTAATAATAATAATAATAATAATAATAACAGTAACAATAATAATGATAACAACAATAATAATGACAATAATAATAATGATAACAATAATGATAATGCTAATAATAAAAATGAAAATAAAAAGAATGATACTACTACTATTACTACTAATTATAATGATAATAATGATAATGATGATACTACTACTAATAATAATAAACCAAAAATAAGTAATAAACAAACATAGATAATCAAACAATGAATATATATATAGGGAGAGAATGAAACAAGCATATGATATCATTTTAGACTGGTGATCTGCGTACTTTTTATTCTGTTTTTCTTACATTATTACAGTGGCAATACCGACCAGAAGGCATAAACAGGAATAACAAAAGACAACAAAAAACATAACAAAACAACAAGCAATAGATAACTGAACAGTTCACAACCCACCTCGAAAACCCAACCTATTCCTTACAGACGGATGCTGTATACCTTTTTAAAAAAAATTATCTCCTCTAACAACAATCCAACAACAACACCAAAAACACAAATAAACAATAAATAAATGAATATATCAATAGCTAATCGATTCCCCGCCGTTCTCCCCCCAGACGGCTGCCCGACTCGAGCTCCGCCTGCATCGACAGCTCGGGCGTGAGCATCTTCGTCGCCACCAGGAACCTCGACTACGAGACGGTCGAGTCGTACAACCTCCTCCTCCAAGTCGTGGTGAGTATAGAAGAACGTGTTTTTTTTCAAGTCGAATATTTATCATCATCATAATCCTCAGCAGCATTTATATTATAAGTCTGTTAGTGTTCATTCCGTCCATCTGTTGTCATGCTATGCTTACAATCTACGCCTGAAACCATATTTCGTTTGACTGTATGTATGCATGTGCGTATGTATGTATGTATGTATGTATGTATGTATGTATGTATGTATGATATATGTATGTATGTATGTATGTATGTATGTATGCTTATACATAAACACACATATAAAAGGTATGTCTGAAAATTATTTTTCATTCTCATTCATACTTTTTCTACATTTGTCGCAACGAACATTGTTCACACACACATAAACACACACAGTGACACACACACATACACACACACTACACACACATAATGTAGTCATCTGTGCATTCGTTTAGATATTTCCTTGCGTATTTCTAAGATTCTAAAAGTACACGTAAAAAAACAATGCATTCAATTTTCTCTCTCTTATCCATAAATCTTCTAATACATTATTGGTACATGTTTGAGCATGTAATGTAGATGTGTAATTCCAAAAGTGCTGAAGTCGTTTTAAGTTGTAAATGTGCTCACAAGCTCTCTTTTCCCATTATGTTTATGAGGGAGGTATTGTATCTCTCAAATATTGCGATTTCTGCAATTCATTTATGACAATCTGATTCCAATACTTTTTTTTTTTTTTTTTAAGTCAGTGGGATAAAATAGTGCTTTTGAGTCGATCGTAAGCTGTAGCATAAATTTATGTATACATTGATATATACTCATGTATATGCGATTGAGGCAGTTTTCTTTGTGGGATTGTGATGTAAAATGACGATGTTTTTGTTGAATGATGAAAAGTTAATAAAACGTTCGTGAAAACTTCATGATTATCAAAGATATTCATCGAATGATCTTCTAGTTATATTTATGACAATGTTATGCAAAATTGTTTTTTGATTTATGAATTGTAGAACCAGTATTACTACTGCTAAGGATAATAATCGTGTTTATGATCATGATGAAGATAGTAAAAATAACCATTGTAATAATAATAGTAATGATAATAGCAATAACAACAAAACAACTGCTATTTCCTCAGGTGATAAAAATTATATTGATAATAATGATAGGGCAATAAGGATAAAGAACAAAATACATCGGCTTAGTTTATGATATTCATTTTTTTCTAAAGAGTAAACACCAACCAGTTAGTAATGCATTTGATAAGTTCTATTTCTAGATTAACAAAGTGAAGGCGGGCATATCAATGTCTGTTGATAAATGTTTGCACCACCTTGCGCTCTTCAGGGTGTACCTTATGTACATGTAAGAATAAAATCCTATGTACCGATCTGGTTTACGTTCCACCGAAAGAGAGGAGGAAAAGGGGAGTGAAGGAAGGGAAAGAGACAGAGTGATAGTTAGATTTAAAGGAGAGAGATGGAGGACAGACAGAGACCGAAAACGAAAAAAAAATAAAACGATGAATGAAGATACTACTACTACTACTAATAATAATAATAATAATAATAATAATAATAATAAAATAAGGATAAAGGATTCCCAGACGAGGTTCGAAACTTGTGTTCCGAACCACCGAGTAGGGCCCCGAACAGCCAAAGGACCCGGAGAACGCACGCACGCACGCACGCACACACGCACCGAGACTTATTCCCTTCAGTAACGGCGGCGGCGTTTTCGCTAAAGCTAATATTTGATTTTATCTCCGAACTCCCTGAAACGTAATGTGTGTGTCTTTGTAATTTGTGTTGGTTCCTGGCGCTGTGTGTGTATGTGTGTGTGTGTGTCCATGTTTGAATAGAATGTATGTGCATGTGTTATCTTCGTTTCTTGGACCTTTGGATAGAGATGAGAGATCCGTAAATACAAGAGACATACATCTTTTCACTTTTAGTTGGTTGCGAAGGATAGTGTAAGATGTTGAAGACTTGCCGATCAAAAGTGTTCCTGCGTGTGTTGAAGCGCGAAGGGAAGAGAAAGAAGACAAAAAGAGAAAGTATAGGAAAAGAAAATGAGAGTGTGTCCACAGAAAAGGAAAGTTATATGAACAATTATGATAATAGAAGCAATATATAGATCAGTGAATATGAACAGATGATAATCTAAATGAGCTATGTAATAAAAAGAAGATAAATAATAAAACAAAAGAATAAAAGGTCGTCTGTCCACGCCCTCTTCTCTTTGCAGACAGACCGAAGGCGAAAAGAAAATAAAGAGAGGGAAATGAAAAAAAAAAATAAATAAATAAATAACAATGATAATATCAAATGTTTCATTATATATGTATAAAATTGGATAA